CTTTCTCTAAGACATATCTGTTTGTTGATATCCTGTACCCATTTTTCAATTGGGTTGTTTATCTTGTTTGGTGCTCGAGTATTTTATAAATTCCATCTATAAGTCCCTAACAAGACATGCTATTACCAAATTTTCCCCCCCAGTCTATCCTTTCCCTTTTTACCCTGTTGGAGAAATTTTTAGATATGCATAGGGATTTGATTCTTTGAAGATCCCATTCATCTATTTTATCCTCACCTGGTTGTAGGTTTTTCAGAATGCTTGGAAGATTGTTCATGTATGGATTAGTGCTTCTAGGGTTCTTCCAAGCTTTTCACCAAAGAAGACATTCAGATGGAGAACAAACACATGAAGAAATGTTCAAAATCCCTAGCTCTAAGAGAGATGCAGATCAAGGCAACTGTGAGATATCATTTCACCCCAGTAAGAATAGCAAAATTTACCAGAGCAGCAAACAACAAATGTTGGCGAGGTTGTGGAGAAACTGGAACCCTTATTCACTGTTGGTGGGAGTGTAAAATGGTGCAATCACTATGGAAGGAAGTATGGTGCTTTATCAAAAAGTTGCAAATAGAAATACCATTTGACCAGCAATTCCACTACTGGGAATATACCCTAAAGAAACCAGAACTGCCACCCAAGAAAATATATGCACACCCATGTTTATCGCGGCTCTGTTCACAATAGCAAAGAGTTGGAAATAACCCAAGTGCCCATCAACAAATGAATGGATAGAGAAGCTGTGGTACATCCACACAATGGAATATTATGCAGCACTGAAAAACAAAGAACTCATGAAATATTACACAAAATATGTGACCACAGAGGACATTACCTGAGTGAAATATTTCAGTTACAAAAAGACAAATACTGTATAATGTCACTGTTATAGAACAGGACTGATATGGGGGTTGGTGGGAAACTTAGAAAAAAAAGGAGGGGATTAATAATGTACATGGCATTGAAACAAATGAGGGAGAGAACTGTAGAAAAGGAACATATAATTGATTAGGTAATATTGGCATGACAAGAGTCCAGAATAAGAGTTGCACAGTAAAGTGGTCAGGGGGAGAGGGACTGTATAACAATGAAAGAACTTTTTCTCTCAAGGAAGAAAGCAAACTATGGGGGAGGAGGGACAGGGAGGAAAATGGATAACAATAAATGAAAAGGAATTTTTTAAAAAGAGTATGTTCAAATCTGTTAATACCAAATTTAAAAAAACATTTTTTTTAAAAAAAAAGACATATCTGTTTGTTCTTTTCATAGTCCATGGACTATTCAGTGCTCTTCTCCAACTCCACAATTCAAAGCCATCAATTCTTCTGTCTTTATTCACTGCCCAGGTATGAGCAGCATAGCAAATGACTGAGGAGACCAGGGCCTGAACCATGGGTACCTTTGTCTTCAAACTGGAATTGTTGCTCCTCAGTAATTTGGAGATGTCTCTGACTGCAGACTTTCCCAATACAATACATCTCCTGATCTCTTGACTGCAGGTATCAAGTGTGTTGACTGCAGATCCAAGTAATAGGAAGTCATTGACAATTTCAATCTTTCCAGCGGTGAGAATTTTTGTTTTCTTGAGGTCAAGATGTAACCCATATGGAAGGATGTAATCTATTATCTTCTGTGACAAGAGTTACAAGGAACAGTCACCAGAAAAATTATGATACTTGAACCTATGGAAAAAACCCTCTAAGATCAATCCATCCTTTTCCGTATGCTCTCAGAGGGAGGCATGGTAAAGAAATAGAGTGCAGAGAAATTACAGGAGTGCAAGGACTGTGTGGACAACCATGGAGAAATTATAAGCCCCTCTGTTCTCTCAGTCAGCAAAATATTTCATCTGCATATAGTAAATTGTTGGTAGGTTTTTATGCAATCCTAACACCATAGTCTTCATGTTGTCCAGCTTCTCAGATTGTCTCTTTAACACACAAACCAAGGTGAGGATTTCCCATACTTACTGTACAGTGAAAGGGTGCAGCTTTAATGTGCCTTTCCTGACTTCAAGCCACGCAGTCATCCTGTATGCTGTTCAAACGACTGCCTCTTGGCCTAGGCTCAGGGTCTCCACGAGCACAATTAAAAGTCACTGCCTTCCAGTCGGTGTTCCCTCACCTTGACCCTCCATCAGGTTTCTGAGACTTTCAATCACAACAGCAGGACACTGCCCACCCTCCTCTCCCAAAGTAATTCCATTCTCTTCAGTGATAGCCACAGTTTATTATGAGCCATGTAGCTGAATGTCTCCCACAACCAACACAACACAGATAAACGTCTTTCCGGTATTCTCTCCTTCTAATCAAGATCCATCTGACATCAGCAATGATACTCCTTGTCCCACGTCCTCTTCTAAATCTAGTTTGACTTTCTAGCAGTTTCTTCTTGATGTTCTGTTGCGACCATGTTTGAATTCCCTTCAGCAAAATATCATTTCCCTGTGATAGTAATGATTGTGGTTGTTGTGTGCCATCAAGACTGGCCTTCCGGGGGGGGAGGGGTTTCAGAGGCAGTAAATCGCATGGGAGGAGACTGTCCATCCTTCTCCCGGCTGGTAATGCTATTGTCCCAATAATCACCTTATTCTGTTGAGTCCCCTTTCTTAGAAATGGACATGAATATGGATCCCTTACCATTGGCTGGCCAAGTAGCTCATTTCCAAGTCTCCTGGCATAGACAGTGAGCGCTTCCCGGGCTGTGTTCCTGTGTCAAAACATCTCAGCTGGTGTTCTGTCAACGCCTAAACAGTGCTTCTCACTAATGTGTTTTGTGTGACCCGGGTTTTGTCTTTATTGATCGTGACTTTCTTAGTTATAAGCTACCTACTGAACTGGGTTGTGCCACTGCTGTTGTGGTTGCTGTTTGTCACCGGGAAGACACTGAAAGACACTGACTCACAGCTGACCTTCCAGTGGGTTTTCAGACTTTATCACATGGAGCAGCTGGTGGACGTGCACTGCTTGCCTTTGGGTGGGCCGGGCAAACTTCTTAACCACTAGGCCATCAGATCTCCTGATGTTGACTCCCTGTCTGTGCATTCCTAACATCTTCTTTTGCTGCTTCCTGCATCATTCAGGGTTATTGGGTGTTTTTTTTTTCTCACACAATCTTCAGTATTATAATTTAAAGTTTGAATCTTCCTTCAATTCTTTTACCTTGAGAAATGCTGAGTAATTTTTTCTTTCTTTTCAGCTTTCTAACTCTCTGCACTTGCACCTTTCGTGATAACATTGTGTCTTCCTCAGCTTCTACACATAGAAAATACACACAAACACACACATACACAAACCCGCCACAAAACCCCTTAGAATTAGACCAGTAAGCAACAGCATGATAAATACATGAGGTTGGCATGCCCGAGGATTTCAATTCACTTAGATTTACAATGATTGTCTGTGGAAGTAGCAGTGAAGAAATCAAAGGGCCCTGTGCAGTAGGCAAACTTGCAGCGCACAACCTCTTCAAAGTGTCAAAAAGTAGTATTTTAATTTAAGACTAAGATGCACCTAGCCCAAGTTATAGTATTTTCAACCATCTTAAGTTCTTGTAAAAGCAAGACAACAAGGGGGGTGGGGGATGAAAAAAGAAAAGTTAAAAGAAGAATCGATGCTTTTTTAACTTAAGAGATTGGTGAAGAATGATGAACATAATAACATGGACCACCTCTGGTGGCCTAGTGGTAAGAAGCTGGGTTGCAATCCTGAAGACACTGGGTTCAAATCCACCAGCTGCTACTTGGGAGAAAGATGGGCAATCGATTAAGTGCCTCTGAAAACCCTCGGGAGCTAAAACTATGAGCTGGTTCCAACTCGACAGTACATGATAACAATCACCAGGAAAACGTCTTGAAAGAAGTGTACCCAGGATGATCTTTTGAAGCAAGAACAGGGAGTCTTTGTGTCATGTACTTGGGGCATATTATTAGGTGGAGACCCTTTTGGGGTTCTTAGACAAGAACATCATGCTTATTAAAGTCAGTGAAAAGCAGAGAAAGGGACCGACTCAGTGACTGCAGCAATGGGTTGGTGAAACAGTGATTGCAAGGATGGCATCAAAAACCCTGGTTCTGTTTCGTTCTGTTATCTGCTTTGAACTACAACCAACTAGGAAGTGCCTAACAAGGGCAGAATAGTCAGCTGGGGAGAGTAACCACCAGACGCTAAAGGCTGAGAAACCAGGCAAGGAAGGGATGGGGATCTGACCATGGTCCTGAAAGCTAGCGCTCTGCACATTATTTCTAACAGGCTCCATGCATCCCACACAATGTCAGTAGAAGCTCAATGTCCAGCAACCGTGGTCCATTTATTGATGAAACTTGTTCTTATCATTCAATCTCTAACTGCACACCTCCGTTTTCTCCAAGAGGGGTCTCCTCTGCTGTTAAACTCATTCCAGGGTTAAGTGCTAGCTAATGTAAACTCAAAGGCAGAAATCGAGGTTCTCAGCAACTCACTCATTTGAATTTCCGCAGAAAACTGGCAGTTGGGAGTCCCAATTCGGGTCTGCCTTTCTGCTAAACTCGAAAAAGCTGAGAAGGATCTCCTTGGGGGATAAGAAAGGATAGTATCTCAGTAAGAGCATTTCAAACACCCAGGAATGGAACCTACGATCCAGGAAAAGTCTAGACGGAGAAGGGTGTCAATACGCAGATATGGACAGTCAGTCACCCATTTTTCTTTCACAAAATTACAACCAGTTCCCTAAAGAGCAGCTGAAATATCAGCCCCACAGTGGACACGGGCGTCGGCCTCTCTTCACGCTATTTTCCAACCCTTGCAAACGTAGAAGTCAAGATAGGGAACGACATCAATCCAAGATGTTATAAGTCTACCAGGTCCCAGGGAGAAAAAAAAAAGGCACTCTCCTATCACAACACTTAGGCAAAAGCAGAGCGAAATCTACCTCGATGGGAAGGTGGGAGCAAAAGTAACGTGTACAAGAAAAACCATTCACCCAAAATAATGCCCCGAACTCGTCGAAGTGTGGGGACTTACGTGTGCCATCAAAACGGGTGGCGATAGTGTCCAGGAAGGTGTTCTGGGGAGCCAGTAATCCTTTCATAACCGGCATCTTTCCAGCGTCGGGTGAAATTCTCCATCAAAGTTTGTCCCAGGGATGGTTGGAAAGTGGCAAGAAGGGAGACTGAGCGCAACACGGGCCGGGAAGGGGGCCTGCGGGGACGCGCGGTCAGGTCCCGGGAAGTGGCTGCGGGATGGAAG